CTGTGCGATGTACCACTTAGCCATCTACAATTTAGCTAGGCATTTAGTATTGTAAATATAAAACCGTGGTTAAATAGACCCTAAAGGTATCGGGCTCATATATATATATATGTATATATATATATATCATGTGGATGCGAGCCGAATGGGTGCTCGTAGCTGTGTGTGGCGCTGTCGCAACTCTATCCTGAAGAGTATTCTGTTACGTCCAAACGAAGAGCACATACTTGTCCCAGCCCTTTTTCTATCCTGCGCAATCGCTCCATAAGGCAGAGTGTTGGTCCGCCCTTCAGTTGTCTGCCCTCTGAAACCGACAAACAATCTTTTCTCGGAGGCCTATGACAAGCGAATGCGAGCTGATGCAGAGAGCTATGATGCGCTGGAGGCCTTCTATCAACCCGAGTCCAAAAGGCTGCCGTAACCCTCCTCGGAGAGCTCAGGCTTTTGTAAGGGGTTCATGCATGTGGGAGCGTCCGCTTTGGATTCCAAATGGAAATCATAAGGACCCCCAAGCCCTACGTTCGAGAACCCCTGTTGCTCATGCCGTCCCACAATACTTCAATCCCCTGAGCCCCTGTGGCTGTAGTTAGAAGGGCTAGTGCATGGCACGCCCCCGAATGCATGGTTCGAAGAGAGGTATGTTTGAACCGGGGGAACCCGCAGACTTAAAAGGGTTTCGCTGAGGGTACTATAAGTCGGACCATAAGTGTCCCAAAACGTGACAAACAACCCTAAACCCTGGCAAGAACAGGCGGAACTACGAGACCTCGAGGCTCGCTTTGAGCAGGCCGGTATGGGTGAGGCTTCCTTGTGTGGGAAATAAAGTTAAACGGATTAGGGTACCTGGAGCTGAGGCTCATGGAGGCTGTAGTTTCTTTGAGCGGGCTTGAAGTGTGTGAGGCATTGCAGATTGGGGTGTCGCGCTGCGGTTGGTGCCGCAAGATAGGGTGTGCCGAGCTGCAAGGTTGAGAGTCCTCGTGGTTTCACTTCGTGGTAGCATAGGTGCTTATGCTGAATTCAACCGTCTGGGAGTGAGTTGAATGCTCAGGACATCTCAGGACATTTTCTGCAGGGGAGCAGTATAGCGAACGGGAGAGGTCAGGATTGCTGGACGCAGCCTGCATTGCTTCTGAGATTTAGAGATGAGCTTCTTGTTGATTTCCCAAACATGTTAAGGCTTCCTGCATTAGGAATACATGGTCGTGTGCTCACAAAGCTTCGGAAGTGGTGCAGTGCACATTTTTGGGCTCATGTCCCATTGTTTACACTGTACCGCTCGCGCCCCGTCCTCCGGGACGTGATATGATCTTGGCTTCGGTTTTTGCTTTCGAAGCACATGTCCGAAGGCTTGGCAGGGCCGCACTACCTGCCCTGTTGGGCTCGTCTATCTTTGCGTTAAACTCTGCCAGTACACGGGTAGAGCGATTTTGAAAAAGAATCCTGGCAGGGCCACACCTTGGCACTTTGTGCTTTGCTACCGCATCCTCGCATGCAAAGTCCCGCGCACATCTCCCGCCACAGTGCGGTGCACATTTTGCCTGCGCGTCATGTTCTCGCATCAGACGTTCATGCCCCCGCCACAGTCCCCTCCCCTCGCCACATCTGCACATTGACAGCCTGAACGCGCTGGAAGTCTCTAGTCCTAGCGGGGCCACACGAAAGGCACGTCCGTCAGGGTCCTTCGCATGGATTCTTAATCCAGCCAGTACCTGGTGCCTTCCGTCCTACCACCGGCTGCATGGTCGGTCCCCTGGTCGTCTTGGCTTGCTCCTGGTGGTCCTGGTTCGTGGTGGCTGTTCACGGTGGTCCTGGCTGCCAGCATCGGGCGTGGTCTGACCAGGTCTTGGCCAATTCTTGACCTACGCTGGCATAATGCTGGTCCCTTCGTGTGTTCTGTGTTTGACAGCAACCCTGACCCTTGTGCCCCGAATGCTAGAGTTGTCAGAAGCTGCGCTGCCATTTGTACAGCCGGTCGAAGGCCCGACACAAAGCACAGACCGCCCTGGAGAACCAGGAGCACAAGCAAGAGAAGGACTAACGCAGCATCGCTGGGCTTCGGATGAGTCTTGACAGTAAAGGGACCTGGGAGCTGAAGTATGAGATAAGTTCATGACATAGCAGAGGTTTGTGGGCGTGGAGGTCCGGGTTGGGCTCTCAGCATGCACCTTCGAACGCGAAAGGAACAGAAAAAGAAGACCCCTTGACCCAAACCAGCTCTGTTACCTGGAAGCAGCTCCGCTTCCCATCGTATTTCAGCCTGTTGGATTCAACTTTGCGCGCTGCCAATCAGCTTCGATAATGCTTGAACCTCTGGAGCTGAGATCCGTTGTGCATCTATGGAAGCGCAGGAAGTTCATCGCCGACTGAACGAGAAAGATGCAGAGGCAAATCCCAGCACGACATCGCGACAGGATGCTGGAGAGCAGTTGCAGTTGCAGCAGCTCGTTGCAACAGATCCACAAGTTGAAAGATCTCATTGCATTCACGCAGAAAAGATTCGATGCCATGCTGGGACCTCAGATGTCAGACTTGCCATATGTGCTGGCTTCCAAAAACTCATGGTTTCGAGGTTAACGGGTCATGTCTCGCTGAGGCTGGATCAGGAAGGAATGGAGCAATCGCTCGAGATTTCAGAAATCAAGAAGAAGAATCAGGAGGCAAGGAGCACTGAAATTTGAACCCCGCTTGTGCTGATCCCAAGCTTTGCTCTGCAAGGAGTTGGAACAGCAGCATCTAGTGGAGTACAAGCTGAAGAAGGACCAGGATATGTTGATGCATCTTGGCCAAGAATCAAAGACCTTGATAGTGGACCTGCTCTACTTGTACATGTACTTCTGAATGAAGGGGTCGTTATTGAGTAAGTCTCAGTGAGTCTGCGTGTGTGTGTGTGTGTGTATGTATGCGACAAGTCATGTCTGAGTGAGAGTGTATGCAGGGATGTATGCTTTATATGTAAGTAGATCCAAAGTCTCACCATGAAGGCCTGACTCTGGAGATTACCGAGACAATTTGCTGAATCTGTGCTGTCCCGAATTAGAGGCACTCTCTGTTTTATGGTGGCACTGAGGCTTCCTTGAGGATGGGATTTGCTTTCTCTGCGTCTTTCGAACCTGAAGCACCTGATTTTGTCGTGCATGTCCGAAAACACAAAAACATAAAGAAGGCTTCGAAGGCATGAAAACCGGAGAAGCCAATTCCAAGGAGAGGATTGGAAATGATGGAGAAGGCACCGGCGCTTGCCCTTCTTTTCTTGGCGGGTTTTGGTTCGCGTTGCCAGGATCGGGACCGCATTGCCATGGAGCAGCGCGAAGCCAGTGCTGCGCTCCAAGAGGGAGCTGCCTTTGGACTTTGTCTTTGATGTCTTTGGGAGTCGCCGGGTGCCAGATGCGAACGACTCCCCAGCGAGGTGAACATCAGCAGCCTGCGCGCGGAGGCCTCCGCCGCCTCAAAAACAAGACCGGCCAGGGCGTCGCGCCCTTTTTGTCTGTGGTTCTTCCGAAGGCCGAGACGATGAAGCGCGAGGTGACACTTCTGAAGGTGGGACAGCGGGGTTGTGGAGTTTGCTTGCAAGGGGCGGGGGCGCAGCAGCCGCGGAGTCCTCAGGCCGAGCGCAAGGAACGAGAGGCCACGCTGCGCGACAAGGAGATGGAGATCGGAGCGCACAAGCTCAAGGCCGGAGCTCGTGAGGCCCACGGCCACGGCCACCGCGAGCCCTGTTTAGGTGCAGACGCTGAAGAAGTTCAAGCACGTTCTGGACTACCGCTTGCGAGAGGCGACAGCCAGGGAACCGGGCAGCTGCGTTCTCACTCTGCGACAGCCAGGTAACAGAGTCCTTGAAGCCCAAGGAGGACATGATCGCGCAACTCCACCTGCCCCACCGGCTCGCGGGGCTCACAGGAGTGGCAAGAAGGTGGTATTCGCCAACACCGAGGGGTTCTGATCAAAGGAAGCACATTATTAAGAGGGAGCGACGACAGCGCAAAGGATGGAGGAAAGAGTGGTTCAAGCATGAGGTTTCGGTGTTGGAGGCAGCAGAAGATGCAGAAAACATCAAACTGGGGAGCATGACAAAATTCAGAGTGGGGAGCGTTTAGAGCGGACTTGAAGCCTTGAAGCTCTTCAAGCAAGAGCGGCCGTCTGCTTGAGTCTGCTTGAGACTGCCAGGCAGCTCTCGGCTCTGGAGGAGGAATTTGAACGGCAGCTGGAGATCCAAAAGCAGATGGTGCCACCCCGTGCTCAGAGCTTCCATGTCTGGTCGCTGGCCGATGTGCAGGAGGGTGTTCTGGAGACGAAATCTGCTCAAGTGCTTCAGCTGTCTGCAGAGGCCAGGCGTGGAACGTGGTCGCGTTTTTGCAACAGTCATAGCCCAAGAGGCTGAGAAGCAGAAGGAGATCTTGAAGCAGCCGGGGCCCTGGCCCCCCCCCCCCCCCCCCC